ATGTCTTGTGTTATATTTGAATTTAAATGAATATATTATTCAATACCATGTAAATTATTTGTTACCAAACCTGTGCTGAACACTAGTTGCTCGTTATCATTACTTAATGTTTTACAAACAAATACCTAGTTAATTAAAGGATAATTTGTAACCACTATCGCAATTTTTACTATCTTTTGCACTTGTGTACCTAACCTTTATTTCGTGGCAACACTGTCATCAACTACCATAGTCCATTCTAACAATTTCCACTAAAATTCCATTATATGATATAAAATGCCAATTTAACCCCGAGATTAAGCTAATTACTTCCATTAAAAAGTTAGATTAAAATTTAAGTCAATGTAATTAAATTCATTTTAACCACATGTCTGGAATCCACAACTTTTCAACCACACATTTCCTCACTTTTATCAAAATCTACTAAAAAATTAATTTTTATCTAAACCAAACAAGGGTTAAAATTAAGATAATAATACACATGACAAGAAAAATGGAAAAGAAAAAAAAATTTGTATGTCAACTGCTTCAACACCAAAGCCATGACTCCCTAATTGGAAAAGTCTCTCATAATTGCATCATTTAGGTCTGACTCCTCAATTGCAAAAAGGTGCATGATAAAGGGCAATGACGTTTTGATGAGGTGTCATCTAGAGCATCAATTATGAAATGATACATTCTAAAATTTAATTTGTGTAACAAGATGTGATCATTGGGAAAAGACACAATTATTGTATTAATTTTCTCCATATTAGTCCATTGAATAAAATACTTCATTTCTCTGTCAATTAATTATTTGCCTTTCATTTTGTTATTTGTTTGCTATTATATATTTCATGTCATGTCATATATATCATCTCGATCCGTTTTATTTTTCAACATTTTTACCAAAGCCTAGGTTATCATCAAGTCAAAGCCTAACAGTCAATGGGAGATACAGGTTTGCTCCCACACATGGTCTGATGCGTGAGGTGTAGATTGTTGAAGTTATCTCACATCGATTGTGAAAGAAGCTAGTGGTTAGTTTATAAGTGTGAGGGGAAAACTTCATCTCTAGAGCTAGCTTTTAAGGTTGAGTAAGCTCAAAACTGCTCAATATATATAACCATGGCTGGGCAAAAATCAACCCAAACCACTCAAATCGAGCAGCCCAACCCAAATCTACTGGTTTGGGTTGTTTTTAAGTTTAATTGGGTTGGATGGGGGTTATGGATTAAAATCCAATTCAACTCAACCCAATCCGTTGAATTAAAAATTTTAATATCTATAATGAAAAAAAATTTAAATAGACACAATGGTGGAGACAAGAGAAGAATTTTGAATATACAAATTATATAGGCTGATTCGTATGAGTACTGTGTATAAATGCAAAATAATTTGACGATAAACAAAAAATTTAGGACATGATAATAAAACGAATAAATCCTAAAAGATTATCAAAAGAAAATGCTCCATAGTTTCAAATTTATTTATAAATTAATTTTTAGAAAGAATTTCTTATATAGATTAAACATAACGGAGATTTTCAAATGATTTCAAACTTTAAAAATTATTCAAATTCAACAAAAAAATAATCGGATTCAACTTGAAATGGGCACAAGCCCAAACTGACCAACCTAGGCTTAATTGATTTGCATTGGGTTGGGTCGGATTTAAACTAATAATTAGGTTGAGTTGGTTTAAGTTTAAATTAAACTAACCTTGTTGGGTTTGGTTTAGGTTTGATAAAAACCAACCCAACCCATGCTCAGCCCATTATAATATTGGACATGACTCAAAATTTGATCAAACATGCGGTATACTTCTCATATCAATTCTTAGCTCTCTCTAATCGAAAAGTGTAAAGAAAAATAACGTGAAAGTTAGTTTTTCGTTAGTCCTAGTACTATGTTCTTCAATCTTGTCTATAATAGAATAGGTTGACCTCCAAATTCTCTTTGGTTAAGCTTCTACTTTCATCCTCTCTTTTCCCTTTACATAATTGATTGAATTCAAAATTTTATTTTTCGTAAAATTTGATTGAAAAATAAAGTTTTGGAAAGTAAAATTTGAAATTCATGTGTATATCAAGATAATGTATATTTTAATTATTTGGATTTTATGTGAAAGTTATATTATTTCTTATATAGTCATGATTTGCACTGTTAGGATAGTTTTTGGATATTATACCTTGTTTTTTCAGGTACCTCCTAGAAAATATTATCTTATTGATGCGTAGTGAAGATCAAGTTTCTATATTTTATATATTTTCATTTTTGTATTATAAAAGAATTAATGAAATGTATGTTTATAATAAAACAATCTTTACCTTCTTCTGTGTATATCTTTATAAATCATTCATGTACAATATTTACTTACAAGCCTGCTCGTTCCTTGATTGAAAAATTTGAGTTTAATGCTTTAGGGATTCAAGACCTCGCATTGTATATATACACAAGTCGACATTCGTTGCAGGCAACCAACTTTCACAGAACTTTTCTAGAATCTATACGGCCATAGATCATTGGACCAGTCTATATGTACAATTTTTTTTTTTACAGGCCTCTTACAAATAACACACATTGGTGGGGTGGGTGGTCTATTTTTGGAATAAAATATTCACATGGGGCCCACTCCCATATGAGATTTCTGTGAAACTTCTGGCAATAGTTGGTCTGTACACTTGGATTTTTCCTAGATCATTAGAAGAGTTATTTTGTGTTCTCCCATGTACTTAAAGAGTGATTTCGAGTGATTTTAACTTTGTTGAGGGAGATTTTCTTGAAGCTCTAAGTGGATGCTTCTAGGTAGAGTTGCTACTTTTCTGAGCAATTCAAAGTTACAAAAACTCATTTATAATCTTGATTTTCGTAATGTGATCTATTTATTTGGTGTTCAAGTTTGGATTAGGCAGAGATGTTCAATGATTGTCAATAGATCTTGTAGAATCCACAAGAAGGACGATTTGGTGATAAGCATTAATAGGTGTCGTGCTCAAGGACGAAGGCTGGTGTCTAGTACTAAATTAGTGGCTGAGAAGCAAAGTTATAGCGAGGTGATTTCAATTCAGGCTGAGTGGCCATGGCTCAATTCCGAACAAGCCATTCAGATACGAAATAGGAAGTTTTTAATTCTCAAAATTTAGTTTGTGTTTGGTATACATTTTTAGTATATGATAAATTTTTTTTAAACAACTTTTAGAAGCAAAAACAATGGAGATCGCACTGGAAATCACCAAATGCTAGAAAGCTAGGCAAGTTATGGTTTAATAACTGATTTCAATACTTCAACAAAATTTCATACATGTACACTTTCAAAGGTAAAGTAGAATATCTCATAGTGAGCACATTCTTACAATAACAAGAAATCAGTATTGTGTCTATACTTATAAGGGTAACACACTATGTATTGAAAATGGAATATGTATTGAAAATGGAATTCTTCACAATAGATTCACATATTTTCAATAATTTATAGAAAAGTTCTCAAGGATTCAATATATTTCTTAAATTTAAGTTGAAATGCTTCTCAGCAAAGTAAAAACATTTCTGAAGATAGCATCAAAGTGAATGATGTAACCATGGATTTAGTTTTCTAATCTTGTAAGATGTATGCAAGTTCTTTTGTACTTGGTTCTAACTTCCAAGTTCATGCAAGAATTTTAATAAAAAATAAAAATCCTTATTTCTAATTGGCCAAATGAAAAGAACAGCTGACTATTTGCATTAATGAAAAAGTTAATCTGCACCCCTATAGTTTTTAAAAAGAAACTTGTAAACTTGTTTGGATTGATTAAAACTTGATGACAACTTTTACTCTAAAATTTCGCCTTAGGATTAAGGACCTTTCAAGTTACACAAGGCTATGCTCATCACACTTGTTGTAGGATGAGCAACTTACTGCGTGCAAGTTGCCATTTTGTACACCCGAAAATATCCACACTCACGATAACTTCATGAATGGACCTCGTGAAATATAATCGAAGGCTCATAGAGGAATTGGATGGCATACTCTTTTTATAGACACACTTCTCTCAAACGGTTTCATAAACTTTCAATGTGGGATAGTGCCTTTTATAGATACATTTTTCTCAAACGGTTCATGAACTTTCAATATAGGATAATGACATAACAAAAAAATGTTAAAATACCCATCCAAACCATTTTCCAAGTGTATGTCTAATTGACTAATTTGATTTTGAATCCCAACTACATTGTAATATCCACCTCCATCTTTTCATTTATTTAATTTTCAAATTAACTTACATTGTACTTGTATTAACATAATAATGTTAGGCCCTGTTTGAGCCACATTTTTCATTCCACTAAAATGAAAAAAGTGATCCTTACAAACTCTGTCGGGTCCCACATGTGAAAGAAGAGGTCAACAATTGCGGTTTGAAATGATTGATAACGGTACAATTTTTCATTTTTTTGGCCAAATAATTTGGCTCAAACAGATGCTAGATATCATTTTTATAAGTTTAAAATATTTTAGTTTAACAAAGCAAACTTTTTTAACATATTGATTTTTAATTTTTGAAATATCGAGACTAAGTATAAGATAATGAATCTAATTTTTGAAGTATCGAGACTAAACCACATCAATATAATACAAATTGAATCATTCATATCCGCAATAATCAGATTGAGTAATTTTGTTAAATCTTGAATCTATCACTGATTGCGCTAGAAAAAGAAGTTATTGACATATTTTACAAGTTCCCTTCCAAACAATCGGTAAGGATGCTTTCTTTCTTAGTTATTTATTTATTTATTTATATATTTTATTTTTGGTACATTTATGAGCTATTTTTTTTTTCTTTTGCGAGAGTTATTTAGGTTGTACAAGGAGATTAAAGAGACCACAGGCAAAACAAGACATAATCGCTCTCTTAATAGGCAGAGTGTACAGGCAGTGTACAGACAGCTCTTGTTTTCTAGTCTGGCACATTCCTCTATTTACCTTCCTATCAAAGCTCTAGGGGCGGGACGGTGGGGGCCTCAAGGTTGGAATTCAACTTTTTTTTTTTTTTTCACAATCGCTCTCTTAGTACTTGTAAATTGTTTGTACAAAGACACTATGCTAGACTTGACATAATTAAGTTTTGACACAATTAAGGAAGAAAAGCATTTTCTGTCCTTTGTTGCCAACAGCACATAATTTATCTACCTCAGTTTGTTTCGTGTTTCACTCTCACCTTTCATAATTGGTACAACGAACTTGGAACGAGCACGAAGAAGTTACCTATACTTTTCTTTTATTTGAGACCCATTCTTGAAAATTTTCTATGCAAAATATACACAATTTCGTGCCGCCACCCTCTCCACAAACTTAAAATATGCATCCCTCCACTGTTTTTTGAGGATCAAAGATCCACAAATTGCCCAAAATCCTGTTAAAAATCCCAATCCAACAAAAGAGAATAACCAAACCTTTTCGAGATCGTTTTTATCATCAATGTCCCAGTTGTTTTGCCCAGGAAGTGGAGAAATCTCGCCATCACATTCGACAGATAAGGGAAATCCACAGAGTGCATCATTTCCCATATATATTGACGGATCTATTAGTGTCTGGAACTGGTTTCCAGAAGGAATCTTACCTGACAATTTATTGTATGACAAATTCAGGTGATTCAGAAAAGTTAGGGAAACCAAGGTTGTTGGAATAGGCCCTGACAGTTGATTTTTTGATAGATCCAATGTTTCTAACCACGTTAACTTCCCAAAAGCTGGCGGAATCTGTCCACTCAAATGATTCATCGACAAGTTTAATGTTTCCAGTCTGAAGAGGTTCGCGAATTCTGATGGGATTTCTCCAGATAAATTGTTGCCTGAGAGGTCCATACTGTTGACAAGGTTCTGCTGCACGGACAAGTACCGAAATATTCCTCCTTTTGTAATAAGCCGCAATCCCTCTCCATATTCAGCCATTCGAAATGTAAACACTTTCTGAAAGCCACTCAGATTTCCAACACAATGGGGAATAAACCCGGACAGATTATTTTTCGAGATGTCCAATATGTGGAGTATAGAGAGTCTACAGATTTCGGAAGGAATATTTCCCGTAAAAGAATTGTTCCGTAAGCATATAATTAACAACGATGGCATGTTTTCTCCAATCCAAACTGGTATTTTTCCAGAGAATTGATTGTCGCCTATATCAAGTCTACGTAGTTGGGTACAATTTCCTAAACTGGAAGGCACTTCTCCTGAAAGATTGTTATTAGAGAGGCTTAAAAATTTGAGAAAATTTAAGGACCCTATGGAGTCTGGTATCGTGCCAGAAAGACTGTTATTTGACATATCAAGTATGTAAAGAGCGGGAGTTTTTTCCCAAATTTGAGGAATACTTCCAGATAAATGATTGTTTGAAATGACTAGGGTTGTCAATCCTATCAGATTTCCTATAGACAATGGAATTGTTCCATTTAGGTTGTTTCTTGTGATGTCTAATTCAATCAGAGAAGGCATTGCTATCCCAATGTTTGAAGAAATTGGCCCTGAAAATAGGTTGTCCCGCAGATACAAGCTCGTTACATTAGTAGACCAAAGTGGGAGGGGTCCTTCAAAGAAGTTTGAACTCAAATCAACGCTCGATCCAAGGGAGAAACGGAGTGAGTTTGGTATCTTACCACTTAACTGATTGTGCGCGACATCCAGTTCTTCAAGTTCCAAACCCATATTCAAGAACCAATCCGGTATAACATCTGTAATCCTAGCATAATTGAGTATGATGGTCTTAAGCTTGGTTTGATTCCTGAACCATCTTGGGAAGTTGGGGCCGAGTTGGCATGCCTGAATTTTGATATAAACGAGTTTAAACGAAGGCATCCAGTCAGAACTGATGTTGAATACCACGGAAACATTTGGCCGCAACTGACCAATTGATAGTATACGCAAGCTGGAGAGATTTTTAAGATGGGCTTCTGTTATGACACCTTCCCACATGTTTTCAGACATGTTGACTGCATACAAGGAAACAAGTTCTCCAAAACTCACTGGGATTTTTCCACTCATTTGGTTGCATGAGAGGTATAGTTCCCTCAACGATGACAACTTCCCTATTGTTTCTGGAATTGAACCTTGGAAAGAGTTGTGCCAGAGACGAAGATATAGCAGATTCTTGAGGCAGCCAAGTGAATTGGGAAGGTTTCCAGTCAGTTCATTGAATCCCAAATCCAGTGTCTCCAGCCTGTTGTTCGAACATTTAGACAAGCCATCCATGAACTCCATTATGTCACCATCAACTCTGTTGTTAGCGAGTACGAGTTTCTGCAAGTTACAGAGTTTTCCTAGCTTTCTTGGTAACTTTCCTTCAATATTAAAATTATGAGACAGGTCGAGTTCCTCGAGGGAAGTCAAATTTGCTAAGACATCTGGTAAAACACCATAAAGATTGTTTGATTTGAGATCAAGGTGTTTCAGGCTATTTAAATTGAATAGCCACTCAGGAATTGTGGAGTTAAAATCATTGTACGAAAGATCAAGTACTGAAAGAGAAGTAAAATTAACAGACGAAAATGAAGTTGGAAGATTCACAAGCTGACACTGGAATAAATGCAATTCTGAAATAACGGGAAGGGAATTGAGATTTTGAAGCCAATAAGACGCTGCTCGACTAAGGTCTATACCCCCCAAATTTAGGTATTTCAATGAAGAAAGACCTGATATCCACTTAAGACCATTTTCTACCGTCTCGTTATAGTAATAACTGAGATCAAGATACTCCAACTCAGAAAGTTTTCCGAGGTTAGGAGGAATTTGACCTCCAAATGATGCACTAGAAAGATTCAGGTATCTCAACTTGGACATTGACCCAAGAAAGTCTGGAATTCGAGCCCCACCAAAATTATTCATACTGAGGTCCAAATGATTCAAGTATTTCAAATCAAGCAAAGAAGGACTAACCTCACCACCCAACTCATAGATGAATCCATCGCCATTAAAACTATTTGGATATGGATTTTGGAGTTTGATCTCTATTACATATCCAATTCTGTTATCACAGCTCACACCATTCCATCTACAGCAATCGTCTCCGTGCCAAGAAGCGAGTCTCCCTGAAGGATCTGTAAGGGCTTCTTTGAACGTGATGAGCACTTTCTTCTCATTCTCCCTACATATTGAGTGAAGATTTTGTTTGCAGTATGCGATTTTAAAAATCTTGAAATCCAAAAGCTGGAAAAGGAACACAAGAATAATAAGTTGAAACGAGCCTCTACCCATGCTCAAGAAAATATAATGCTAAAAGCAGCTAGCTATATATGTAGTGACAACTTATATCAATCCTAGTTTTCTTGCAAATTTTTATTTTGTAAACTGTCAGTAACATTTGATATTTATAGTATCAATTCATGGAATTGTGGCGTGAATGCAGGGGATTAAATTTGGAAGAAGACCTCAATGACCAAGACTTGTTTCAGTGTCGTCAAGTCAACAACTGATCGGGTAATTTTTTTTTTTTTCCAGATTCATGGAATTGTGGCGTGAATGCAGGGGCTTAAATTTGGAAGAAGAACTCAATGACCAAGACTTGCTTCAGTGTCGTCAAGTCAACAACTGATCGGGTAATTTTTATTTTTTTTTCCAAATTTTAAATTGTCCAATTGTATATTATCATGTGGCAAAGTGGCAAAGATGATGTACACTAAGCATGATTCATTTTAATACCTTGTACCTCCTCAAATTTCCTGGTAGGAGAAAATTGTCATAGTTTATTACATAAATAATAAATGAAAATGACATTTTAAATGGTTTGAATTTGGACAGTAATTTGTTGACACCAAGTCAATTTGTTTTTTAGTGTTTCAATATAATTTTTGATTTAAAAAAAAAATGAGAGTAAATTTTATCAAAGCCCTATTCGTGTAGATGAATTCCAATAAGATTTGAGCTCGAGATATTTATCTACTCTAATTTCATTGAAGCACAATGAAATTAAAATTCTTAAAAATCTTAACCTCTATATGTTTTATATTATCATGCAATATAATCTGAAAACTTAAACTAATTAAAAAGAAATAAACATTGTTTATTTATTTAATTTAACCCTCTATCAAATCTAATAATACTAATTTTGCTAAGTCATGCAATTCCCAATGGCATAATAAGGCATTAGCTCGTTTTGGGAAATATTATAATTTTTCTTAAGATTTAAGCGCTTCTTTGAAGGTGATAAGCGCTTTCTTCTCATTTTTCCAACAAAGAGTGAAGACTTTCTAGTACACGAGATTAGTTATTTCAAAATGAAAAAACTCAAATAGGAACACAAGAACAATAAGTTGGAACGAACCTCTGCCCATACTTGTTTAATGAGCAAGATTTATTCATCTAATTAATATTACTCAATTCTCATAAGCTGTTTTGAGATTTTTTTTTTCTTTTGCTTTCATTTTAATTCATATTGTGAAATCAATTTTAATATATGTTACAATTCGTTCACTTTCCATTATAGTATTCTAATACCTTGGACCACATCAAAATTCTAGCTAGGAGACAATTGTCGTAGTAGTTTATTACATAAATACTTAAAGAAAACGAGAATTTCAACGTTACTGACTCCTAGTCAACTTGTTTTTAGTGTATGGGCATAAATCCATTCATGCATATTGTGATGCAAATTTAAATAATTATTTAATCTTGCACTCGCATCTTATGACACGAAAATTTTCATCACAACCCTAGGATAAAAAATTTCCGTAGTTCAATAATGATATAATTGAATCACAATAAAAGTAGATATTTGAACCTTTATTTTCTATTAGATTAGTCATGATATTCCAGCCTGCATAATAAGGAATACAGAAGAGTTAATGTCCCAATGGTCACTGAACTTAAGTCTCTGTCTTTCACTACTCTTTGAAGTTTAAAATATCCTGTTTTGACCACTAAACATATCAAAATATTGGACATTATTCACTACCTTAATATCCTTTCCCATTCTTTAAATGAAGTAGTGATACATTCATCTAATTCGTTCCAATTATGGGAACGATCCTCTACCCATACTTGTTCAATGAGCAAGATTTATTCATCTAATTAATATTACTCAATTCTATATATATATATATTTTTTCATTTATAGTATTCCAATACCTAGGACCACTTCAAAATTCTAGCTAGGAGACAATTGTCGTAATAGCCTATTACATAAATACTTAAAGAAAACGAAAATTTTGACGTTATTGACTCCTAGTCAACTTGTTTTTAGTGTATGGGCATAAATCCATCAATGCATATTGTGATGCAAATTTAATTAATTATTTAATCTTGCACTCTCATCTTATGACACGGAAATTGTCATCACAACCCCATGATAACAAATTTCCGTAGTTCAATAACGATATAATTGAATCACCATAAAAGTAGATATTTGAACCTATATTTTCTATTCGATTAGTCATGATATTCTAGCATGCATAATATGGAATACAGAAGAGTTAATTGTCCCAATGGTCACTGAACTTAAGTCTCTGTCTTCGATTACTCATTGAAATTTAAAATGTCCTGTTTTCACCACTAAACTTATCAAAATATTGGACATTACTCACTACCTTAACATCCTTTCCAATTCTTTAACAAAAGTAGTCATTTATCATCTAATTCGTTCCAATTCTGGGAACGAGCCTCCACCCATACTTGTTCAATGAGCAAGATTTATTCATCTAATTAATATTACTCAATTCTCATAAGCTGTTTTGAAATTTTTTTTCTTTTGTGTTCATTTTAATTCATATTGTGAAATCGATTTTAATACATATTACTATTAGTTCACTTTCCATTATAGTATTCTAATACCTTGGACCACTTCAAGATTCTAGCTAGGAGACAATTGTGATAATAGTCTATTACATAAATACTTAAAGAAAATGAGAATTTCGACTATTGACTCCTAGTCAACTTGTGTTTAGTGTATGGGCATAAATCCATCAATGCATATTGTGATGCAAATTTAATTAATTATTTAATATTGCACTCTCATCTTATGACACGAAAATTTTCATCACAACCCCATGATAAACAAATTCCGTAGTTCAATAACGATATAATTGTATCAACATAAAGGCAGAAATTTGAACCTTTATTTTCTATTCGATTAGTCATGATATTCTAGCCTGCATAATACGGAATACAGTAGAGTTAATTGTCCCAATGGTCAAAGAAACTTATTTATCTGTCTTCGATTACTCATTAAAATTTAAAATGTCCAATTTTGACCACTAAATTTTTCAAAACATTGGACATCACATGCTACTTTAAAATCCGTTCGAATTCTTTAACAGAATTAGTGATTTATTCATCTAAATCATTTCAATTCTCGGAATGAACCTCTGCCCATACCTGTTCAATGAGCAATATTTATTCATCTAATTAATATTACTCAATTCTCATAAGCTGTTTTGAGGTTTTTTATTTTGCTTTCACTTTAATTCATATTGTGAAATCGATTTTAACAAATATTACTATTAGTTCACTTTCCATAATAGTATCCTAATACCTTGGACCACCTCAAAATTCTAGCTCGGAGAAAATTGTCGTAATAGCAAATTACACAAATACTTAAAGGAAACGAGAATTTCGACGTTATTGACTTCTAGTCAACTTGTCCTTAGTGTATGGGCATAAATCCATCAATGCATATTGTGATGCAAATTTAATTAATTATTTAATCTTGCACTCTCATCTTATGACACGGAAATTTTCATCACAACCCCATGATAAAAAAATTTCCGTAGTTCAATAACGATATAATTGAATCACCATAAAAGTAGAAATTTGAACCTTTATTTTCTATTCGATTAGTCATGATATTCCAGCCGGCATAACAAATAACACATAAGAATTAATTGTCCCAATGGTCAATGAACTTAAGTCTCTGTTTTTGATTGCTCGTTGAAATTTAAAATGACATGTTTTGGCCAATAAACTTGTCAAAATATTGGACATTGCTTATTACCTTAACATCCTTTCCAATTCTTCAACGGAATTAGTGATTTATTCATCTAATTCGTTTCAATTCTTTGAACGAACCTTAACCCATACTTGTTCAATGAGCAAGATTTATTCATCTAATTAATATTACTCAATTCTCATAAGTTGTTTTTAGGTTTTTTTTTCTTTTGCTTTCATTTTAATTCATGTTGTGAAATCCATTTTAATATGGATTACTATTGGTTCACTTTCCATTATAGTATTCTAAGACCTTGGACCTCTTCAAAATTCTAGCTAGGAGACAACTGTGTTAATAGCGTATTACATAAATACTTAAAGAAAACGAGAATTTCTACGTTATTGACTCCTAGTCAACTTGTTTTAGTGTATGGACATAAATCCAACGATGCATATTGTGATGCAAATTTAATTAATTTTTAAATCTTGCACTCTTATCTTATGACACGAAAATTTTCATTAAAGCCCCATGACACAAAATTTCTGTAGTTCAATAATGATATAATTGTACCAACATAAAAGAAGAAATTTGAATCTTTATTTTCTATTTGATTAGTCATGATATTCTAGCCGGCATAATAGGGAATACAGAAGAGTTAATTATCCCAATGGTCACTGAACTTATTTATCCGTCTTCGATAACTCATTGAAGTTTAAAATGTCCAATTTTAACCACTAAAATTTTCAAAACATTGGACATTACATACTACTTTAAAATTCGTTCGAATTCTTTAACGGAATTAGTGATTTATTCATCTAAATCGTTTCAATTCTCGAAATGAAACTCTGCCCATACCTGTTCAATGAGCAAAATTTATTCATCTAATTAATATTATTCAATTCTCATAAGCTGTTTTGAGGTTTTTTCTCTTTTGCTTTCATTTTAATTCATGTTGTGAAATCCATTTTAATATGGATTACTATTGGTTCACTTTCCATTATAATATTCTAAGACCTTGGACCTCTTCAAAATTCTAGCTAGGAGACAATTGTCTTAATAGCTTATTACATAAATACTTAAAGAAAACGAGAATCTCTACGTTATTGACTCCTTGTCAACTTGTTTTAGTGTATGGACATAAATCCAACAATGCATATTGTGATGCAAATTTAATTAATTTTTAAGTCTTGCACTCTTATCTTATGAGACGAAAATTTTCATCAAAGCCCCATGACCCAAAATTTCTGTAGTTCAATAACGATATAATTGTATTAACACAAAAGAAGAAATTTGAATCTTTATTTTCTATTTGATTAGTCATGATATTCTAGCCGGCATAATAAGTAATACATAAGAGTTAATTGTCCCAATGGTCACTGAACTTATTTATCTGTCTTGGATAACTCATTGAAGTTTAAAATGTCCAATTTTGAACACTAAATTTTTCAAAACATTGGACATTACATACTACTTTAAAATCCGTTCGAATTCTTTGATGGAATTAGTAATTTATTCATCTAAATCGTTTCAATTCTCGGAACGAACCTCTGCCCATACGTGTTCAATGAGCAAGATTTATTCATCTAGCTAATATTACTCAATTCTCATAAGTTGTTTTGAGTTTTTTTATTTTGCTTTCATTTTAATTCATATTGTGAAATCGATTTTAATATATATTACTATTAGTTCACTTTCCATTATTGTATTCCAATACCTTGGACCACTTTAAAATTCTAGCTAGGACGTAATAGCCTATTACACAAATACTTAAAGAAAACGAGAATTTCGACGTTATTG